CACCTGCCCTGAACCTTGACCTTGGCAGCGGCCTGTTCATACCCAGTCTAGCTGAGGTGCACCTTGCTGGGACATCCCCAGCTTCTCACCCAGTGACCTCCTCTCAGCGACCTCCACCCTGAGTCTTGTGTTCATTACTCCTTGAGACTAGTTTTTGCTTCCTCTTCTGAATTTATTAAAGGCTGTAACACTGAGTGTGACCTGGGAGAGACTTTGCCCTGAGTATTATGTGCTGGTGTTTGGTCACAGGCATATGTGTGCTGCGCAGCCTTCCTCCTGCTTGTCTGGTTCCTTCTGCTCTGTGATCCCTCTGTTTACATTCCCACCACTGTCAGGTTTCACACGAGTTATTTGCTTTGTCATATGGATTCCTTGGCTATGATAAAGTGATGCCATGAACATTCTTTTCCATGTGTTCTGTTGAACATATGCAAGTTTCACCTATAACTGAAAAACGGTTATACGATCATGGTTTACGAAGTGCTCAATTTTCAGAGGTGATGGCAGAGTTTTCGGTGGTGTCACACCTCACAGTCCTGCAGCCCTCATGCCCTGTGGTGCCTCAGCATGGCCGCGCTTGATGCCCTTGAGCTGTGTTCTCTGTTGCTCTGTGCTGAGCTTGAGATGGTGTCTGTGTGCCAGTGTGATTTGTTCCTCCATCCCGTCATGTGCTCCTCCACTTCCTGCCTCTCAGATGTCTGATCTTGTCCCTTGCCCATTTTCCTTTGGGGTCTTTGTGTTCTTTGTGTTGGTCGTAGGCTACTTGATGGAGCCACCACAGGGTCTTCTCAGCTGTTGTCCACTCCACTCCATCTTTTCAGTTAAGGTTGCGGCAGACGCTGCCTCCCCTTTGTATGAGGGTTTCTCTAAGGTTCCATGTCATAATACTTCATAGACTTCTTCAGTGTCTTGTCTGTCCTCCACCTGCTCTTTGGGCAGCCTGAGCTGTATATGCTCAGATGCTTGTGCTCATCTCTCATTTCAATATCAGTTTGGCTGGTTGTAAAAATTCTAGTTTTGGGGACAGGCTGGAGAGATGGCTCAGCGGTTAAGAACACTGAATGCTCTTGCAGAAGACCCAGGTTCAAATCCCAGCACCCATATGGCGGCTACAAACCGTCCATAACTCCAATACCAGGGGATCCGACAGCCTCTTCTGTCCTCTGCAGGCATTGCACGACATGGGTGCACTTACCTACATGCAGGCAATACACTCATACATATAAAATAAAAATAATAAGTAAAATATTATAAAAAGATTCTAGTTTTTTTAATATTTTATTTTTATTTTATGTGTATGAGTGTATTGCCTGCGTATATGTGAGTGCACCCGTGTCATGCAATGCCGTGGAGGTCAGAAGAGGGCTTTGGATTCCCCTGGAACTGGAGTTAAGGACGGTTTGTAGCTGGGAATCGAACCTGGGTCCTCTGCAAGAGCATTCAGTGCTCTTAACTGCTGAGCCATCTCTCCAGCCCCGAGATTCTAGTTTTTAAGTTCTTCTTCTTTAGCAAATTAAAAATGCTTCTCAGCCGGGCGTGGTGGCACATGCCTTTAGTCCCAGCACTGGGAGGCAGAGGCAGGCAAATCACTGTGAGTTCAAGGCCAGCCTGGTCTACATAGTGAGTTCCAGGACAGCTGGGGCTACAGGGAGACCCTGTCTCAAAAAGACCAAAAAAGGGGGAAAAAAAAAAAAGCTGATCCCTTCCCCCCTGCCCTCCTGTCCTCTGTGTTCATATGATTCTTCCTCTTTGATGCCTGTTTACTGTCTTCAGTCTTCTCTTTTCTTTCTTGTTTGGTTTGGTTGTTGTGGTTGTTGTTGAAATAGGCCCAGGCTGGCTTTGAGACAGGGATTCCCTGTAGCCGCAGCTGACCTGAAACTTGCTATGTAGACCAGGCTGGCCTTGAATGCTCACAGAGATCTGCGTGCCTCTGCCTCCTGAGTGCTGGGTTCAAAAGCGTGCGCCACTATGCCCGGCTCCCTTTCAGTATCCTTTTACATATTTTTATTTTACGTGTATGAGTGTTTTGCCTGCATGTATGCAGCTGCACCACATGCATGCAATGCCTTTGGAGGTTAGAAGAGGGCATAAGGTCCCCTGGAACTGGCTTAGTAGGCAGTTGTGAGCTGCCATGTGGGTGCTGGGAACTGAACCCAGGTCCTCTGAAAGAGCAGCCTGTTCTCTTAACCACTCAGCCATCTCTCCAGCCAGTCATCAGTATTCTTAGACTTCATTACAGTGCTCCTAATTTACCCATGTTCTTGGTGTTGTGAGAATTAAATAATTCATGAGACACAGAACACAGCTGTTACATGTCAGACACCAACAAGTACCCACTCTTAATAAATCACATCATCTCATGTTTTAGACAGGCTCTCACTCTGTAACCAAGCTGGCCTTGAAACTCAAGGAGATCCTCCTGCCTCAGCCTCCCAAGTGCAGGGGTTGTAAGGCGTGAATTGCCGCACCTGGCCATATGGGTTAGTTATTTTCATTTCTATTGCTTTGTCTAGTCCTTGGCCTTTGTTGCCTACTCTAGTGTAGAAGAAGGAACAGTGTGACAGGAGGAGCCAGCTGATGGCTGTCCTCGTGCAGAACTCGTGTTGGCACTGACTCCAGCTCACTGCTCCTCAAGTAACATTTTGAAGTTGTGAGATGACCCTGCTCCAGTTCCCTATTTAAGAGAACTTATAATCTCTGTCAATTCCAAAATCTGTTTGCTTTGCCATTTTTCTCTGGCTTTAGACAGTCTACTGCCTATTTTGGATGACTCATTCCTCTGAGCAGTATGTACCAGTTCCTGCAGGAGGTTAGACTGCGCTTGCCAGAGGCTTGGTTGTGGGACTGACCTCCTTGGCTTTGTTCCCAGCTCCACAGTGTCACTCTGGATCCTGGAATACAGTTTGTGACTAAGGCGAATCCCTCTGGGTGTCCATAAAAGGCCCTGGGGCTTAGCAGGCCCTCTGCTTGAGTAAAACTTGACCTTGCTCTGCCTTCTAGGTAGTAAGAGATGCTGAAATCTCCATTTTCAGCCTTGCATTGCCACAGGGATCCTTGGAGTCTTTTCCTGTGTGTAGTCCGTGAGTCAGCGCAGTTTGCATATGGACTGGACTCCCTCCCTGCTTGGGTTATTCCTTGCAGTTTCGTGGCAGCCCACAGGAGAGCCTGCTCTCCTGGCCTCTGATGCAGCAGCCTGGCAGAGGTCACTCAACTGGAGTCTGGGCTCAGCTCTTCCAGTTTCTCTTTGTTTTTTCTTTGGAATTATCAAATGGTTTTTTTAATGTTTTGTCTGGAGTTTATTATTGGTATTGACAGAAGAATTAGTCTGATACAAATGATTCTGTCATTACTGGGCTCCAGAAACCCCAGTCAGTAAGTCTGTTGTGGTGGAGAAGACAAACCAGGAGCTTAGCTTGCCTGGGATCCGACTCCAGAATGCATCTCCTGTAGCACAGGCCATGCTTATCTACCAAGACAGCTTGACTTAGGCAAAGCCGCTTTTGAAGCTGCATATATCTTTGCTGATTCCAGAGCTGCAGGGTGCCTGGAGGGGCTGAGCAGAGCTCTGAAGGTCAACAGAAGGAGTTGATCAGACGTCCAGCTTGGCTGGACGCAGCATTCGGGCCCCTGTGTCTTTACATGTACGAAGAGGGTCTGTTCCTACTGTCAGGGAAACTTGGCCCTTGCGTTTCTTTCTTCTGTTCTTTGAGCAACAGAACAGGGGCTACTGTAGCCACAACCAAAACCGGATTTTCCTGCCTGCTGACTGAGTTAAGCCTTGCTTGAGCTAGAAGACGTAGTTGAGCCCTTGTGCACTGTGTTCTGGGAAACCAGCTCTAGGTGCCTCTGCCTGGAGGATGGCGGAGGTCAGGAGTCAGTCTCCTGGCACACGCTGACTATGAACCTGTCTAGTCGGCGGCTTCTGGACCTGGCTTTGCCTTCGTTTCCTTGCCCTCTTCTCACTGCTCTGTGTCCTCCCAGCCCACCCACCCATAAAGGGGTCACACCCACATCTCCCAGTTGTAGCCTGACCTTTGTACTGAATACAGTGTACACTGTAATTGGAAAGTGCATGCATGCTGTGGACTGTCCCAGCTCAGCCCCACTTTGGATAGGGTGGCTTGGGGTGTCAGATTTTTCCTGGTGGTGGTAGGCTTACTGAAAACTGTGGCTCACTGCTGCCCAGTATTATCACAAGGGAGCGTGAACCTTTATCAGTAGACCAGATCAGTCTCTGCAGAGTGTGTGTTTGCTCTCACACCGTGGCAAAACTGAAAAGCTGCCCGTCTCATCCTAAGCCGGGTTCCCAACGTGCTGCGTTCCTGCTGCTGTGTTTGAATTTTAAACATAGAGGAATCAAGCGTTCTGCGTTTCTCCACTGAAAATGTGGGGCTGCCTTTTTACTCGTGTTGCCATTGATTCTGCCCTGGTATGTGCCAATAGCTCCGACGGGAGAAAAGAAAGATGGTTTCCTGCCTTCGTATCCGATTAGGTGCAGCCCTGTCGCTCTTGCAGATGGATTTGTCCACAGATGAGAAGTCTCTCAGCTCTGATTCCTGTGGCCTTGTGATGATTAAAACGGTGTAATTGGATTTGCTCCCTTTGTCGGCTCAGTTTCATCTGTGAGCCTTGAAGGCGTGCATCCCCTCCCAGCACTGCTTCTGGCTCCTGTCCCTATGCAGGGGAGCCCAGTCCCCACCAGCAGTTCTTAGGTGCGACACCTCGCTCACTCTGGGTGTCACCTCACCGCTGCTCCCCAGGGACAAGGTTCCACTGACTGCCCCTTTCCTTTGTGCCACCCACTCCGGGCCCTGTTCTGCTGCAACTTTGACAGGCTAGCAGTGAGGTTTTTCTCCTTAAGCCTAAAAGCTGCCAGGCTTAGGAAACCCAGCGTTTGTCTGCCACCCCCATCCCTACCTTTCCTTTGTACCTCTGCGGCTGGAAGGCTTTCGTGGTTGGTGCTCTACCCCTGCCACTCACAGCCTCTCTTTTCTCTGCAGGTTCTGTATGCAGAAGTGTGTGAGTCTGGTGCCTGGAGTCACACTGGATTTGATAGAAAAGTAAGTAAGATCTTGATACCTTGGTGGCTTTCTGGATCTGACAGGTCTCTTCCTCTTCCTGCTCCTGGTTCTCAGAAGTCCCTTCTGTCAGCGTGGGGATGTCTCCTTTCATGTGGATCTGTCCTTTTGTTCTCTGATTAAGGCTCTGCTTGTGATGGTTACATGAGTGTTCAGTGTAAAAGGTAGCTAACGGGGCACATTAAAAGAGAAACGACAAGGCACGGAGTTCCTTTAAATGTTTAAAATACTGCAGATCAAGCCGACACAGAGGGCAGTGCTGTCCACACAGCCCGTCTGCAACATCCAGAGTGTGCTTCCACTTTCACCTCAGCTCCTTAAACCTGAACTTGGCCTTCGGGAGTCTATAACTTTACCCCCAGCTGTTTAACTGTCTAGAGCCACCCTGTTCTAGAAGCAGACTCAGAGGTACGCAGTGTTCTCCTCCTGCCTGAGGCCCTTGAGTGCTGTGTCCCTCTCATGTTCCTATTTCTTTGCTTCTGAAATAGTATCTATGACTCTAAACTTGACCTCATTTTTTGGTGGTGTCTAAGTTTGACCCTTTTCTGTTCACCTGACTCATGTCAGCAATATGGAAAAATTAGGGAGTTTTGTGAAACTTTGTGCTCCCTACCTCCCATCTTCCTGAATCACCTACCAGATGATTGTGTTCCAAGTTGTGATACACAGAAGTGTGTGAAAATAGCCAAGGCCTGAGTTCACTGAATTAGGGTGAAGCAAATCTGCTTCAACAGTCCTCCCTAGAAAGTGCTTCCAGTGTGTGTGAGGGAAGCAGCTCACGAGGGCCACCAAGGGCAGCCCTGTGGTGCTTCTGCCACACATGCTGAAGGTACCAGTGCCGGAGTGCGCAGAGTCACGCACTGCCATCGCTGTGCTCATCGCCAAGTGGACGTACACGAGGGGATGCATTTCCCAAGTGCTGCAGACTCAGTGCAAAACACTTGGCCAAGAGAGGCTGATGTGACTCAGGTACAAATGGGGTGTAATCAGGGCAGTGAGGGGTTAGTGCGTGCAGGGCCCGGGTTCAGCACCCGGCATCGCCAGTGAAAACCAGTGCAGGGCCGGGGTTCAGCGCCCCACATCGCCAGTGAAAACCAGTGCAGGGCCCGGGTTCAGCACCTGGCATCGCCAGTGAAAACCAGTGCAGGGCCCGGGTTCAGCGCCCGGCATCGCCACTGAAAACCAGTGCAGGGCCGGGGTTCAGCGCCCCGCATCGCCACTGAAAACCAGTGCAGGGCCCGGGTTCAGTGCCCGGCATCGCCACTGAAAACCAGTGCAGGGCCCGGGTTCAGCGCCCAGCATCGCCACTGAAAACCAGTGCAGGGCCGGGGTTCAGCGCCTGGCATCGCCAGTGAAAACCAGTGCAGGGCCCGGGTTCAGCATCTGGCATCGCCAGTGAAAACCAGTGCAGGGCCCGGGTTCAGCGCCCCGCATCGCCAGTGAAAACCAGTGCACTTATGTAGTTCACTCTGCATAGCAAAGTGGGACTTGGAACAAGGTGAGTGGAAAGCAGCATTGAGGACGCTGAGGTTTTTCCTATTACTCGTCATTTTTTAACAAAAATGTAGTACAAGGCCTGGTGGCACCCCAGATCTGTAGAGTAAGTCATCTAGTGATTTTGCTTTAAAATGTATGGGTTCGTGCTTGGCAGGGGTTAGACCCAGGCCCTCGCACATGCAGAGCAAAGGCTTTATCACTGAGCTGCACTCCCAGCCCATAAGGAAACAATGAATGGACTCTTTTTTCCTTTTTTTTCTGTTTTTTGGTCTTTTTGAGACAGGGTCTCCTTGTAGCTTCAGCTCGAACTCACTACGTAGACCAGGCTGGCCTTGAACTCACAGAGATGCCTGCCTCTGCCTCCTGAGTGCTGGGATTAAAGGCATGTGCCACCACACCTGGCTAAGAATGGATTCTTAAAGCTGTTTAGTGAAGCCCTTTTGCTTGTTTTGGCCTAGCTGCTCCGGTGGCTTTCTCTATTGGGAGACCACAGATCCTCCCCACCACACTGGGGTTCTCCCTTGACTGAGTCCGTGCTCTAGGACAACTAGCTCCTGTCCTGTTCTTTCCCAAACTTACTCTGTCCCAGCAACATGCAACCAGAGCATGATCCACACAAGGAGGATTGGTCAGTGGGACTTGGTTGATCGTGTTTGCTGTCTGAGCTGCACTGTGAATGACTGTGAAGACTGGCTGCAGACACAAAGCATATTTGCAAGTCACACGTCCTCTGTCTAATAGAGGACGATGTCTCCTGCAGGGGCGTGAGGTACGATGGACACTGGGATACATCCTGGTATCTCAGAACTCAGGAACAAAAACGGCGTTTAAAGATAAAGGCATGACACTTGGAAGGCAGAAGCAAGTGGATCTCTGTGAGCACAAGGCCAGCCTTGTCTCCATAGTGAATCCAGGCCAGCTGTGACTACAGGGAGACCCTGTCTCAAAAAGACCCCCCCCCCAAAAAAAAGATAAAGGCATGAAATGATGCTCCACCAAAGGAGGCCATGCGCTGACAAATCAGCACAGGGAAAGGTGCTCAGAACCATCAGCCACCAGAAGGGCTGAGCGCCTCTCTGGCTAAGCCCCAGGGTAGGGGAGGCAGAGCCCGTGACCTAGCCACTGCACTCCCAGGCATCCACCTTGAGCAATGAAACCTGCAAAACAGTAGAGTTGACGGCACATGCAACCCATGGGCTGCTGCCAGCAAGCAAAGGGAGGGTTCCGATGTACACAGCCCACGGGCCACTCCAGAAGCCACTCTCCAAAATAGCATTCTGGAAAAGACAGACCTGGGGTGGGAGAGCAAGTTGTGGGGTCAGGACTGTGGCAGGTGACCTGAGGACTAGCAAGAGGGTGTGCAGCTCCGGCTCCACAGATGTCATTGTGGCTTCAGAAAAAAATGAAGTTAGCAGCTGGACGTGGTGAACGCAGCAGATCTCTCTGTGTTCAAAGCCAGCCTGGTCTGCATAGTCAGTTCCAGGCCATCTGAGGCTACTGGAGACCTTGTCTCAAGAAAGATTAAGCGGGGCTGGAGAGATGGCTCAGTGGTTAAGAGCACTGGTTGCTCTCGCAGAGGACCCGGGTTCAAGTTCCCAGCATCTACATGGTGGCTAACAACCATCCGTAACTCCAGTTCCAGGGGATTTGGCACCCTCTCTGGCTTCCATGGGCGCTGTGTCACAGGTACACTTAACATACATCATGCAGGCAAAACATTTGTACACACACACAAAAAAAAGCATACACCTGGAGGCTGGTAGCAGTGGTATGTGGGTGTCAACCCAAATGCCCAGGGGTATAGCCAGAGTAGCCTTATAAAAAGCCAGCCAAGGAAAGAAGACCAGGCTCTCAAGAGGAAGTGGTCTGTGTGGTTCATGTGGGTCCTTTCAAGTTCAGTCTTAGAATTGATCTGCAGGCACTGGTAAGCAGCTGTGGGCATCCTTCTGCCCAGGCGGGAAAGCCAGTGCCACCATCAGGCGTCACTTTCCAGGTGTGACTCCACATCCTGGACAGCTGACTTTCCTCCTCCTCCCCGCCCCACTCTAGTGCTAGTGCCTTCTAGCCTGCAGAATCTGCCCTTGGACACTAGCTTTGAATTGAAAGGGTCCTCCACGCTTCTACTCTGACAGGCGGTGCCCCAAAGTTGGTTAAATGCTAAAAGGTTGATTTGGTTTTTTTTTTGTTTTTTTTTTTTAAAGTCAAGGCAGATAAATGTAATGAAGTGTCGCTAATGTAGGCTTCAGAGTACACCTGGCTGGGGGTGCTGGGAGAGGGAATGTGGACAGTTGGGGTTGGAGTGGCTGAGGGCCTGCCCTCTGACCCCTCCCGAACCATGCTATCTGCGCACCCCTCCTTGCCTCCATGCCCTGCGGGCTTGATGGAGTCTGAATGGGTACCTGGGGTGCCCACTTTTTGTCACAGCCTCCATTTCTGGGCCTTTCCCACAGACTTGCTGCCCCCTCCCCCCATACCTTCCAGAAGGCAGTGTGGCCAAGTGTTGGTGCTACCTCACATTTCAGATAAAGACCAGGAGGAGAGCACAGCCTCCTGTAATTGCTGCTATCACTGTCAGATGGACACCACCATGAGACGCGGAAAAGCTGCAAATCCAGGTCCGGCGGTGAAATATAGCAGAAATAGTGGTTTCAGGGAGGGTTGATGCAAGAAAACTTGTTGAGATTGATTTAACAAGTCTTTCTTGATACTGCAGTCTTCACTGTGAGTAGCTGTTGCTGTTGTTGTTGTTGTTGTTGTTTTGAGACAGGGTCTCCCTGTAGCCCCGGCTGACCTGAAACTCACTACGTAGACCAGGCTGGCCTTGAACTCACAGAATCCACCTGCCTCTGCCTCCTGAGTGCTGGGATTAAAGACGTACACCACCACGCCTGGCTTGTGAGTAGCTTTTTAAGGTGTGTTGACTTGGGTCTGAGTCATGGCTCTCTGAATACGACCCAGCGAACGCAGAGGCTATTTTGGTTGAAGCAGACACAAATCAACATTTGCAGTTTGAAATACCATATTACTGCTGTCCCTTGTGACTTGGCAGAGGTTAAATTGAATGTGAGTAGGTGAATCATATTTATATTTTTATGCCTGGACAAATTCTAAACTTGAGAATTATACCACCGTGGGAGAAAGCTAGATGAACAGCCCCTGAAGTCATCCGGCCACAGCTGCTAGATTAATTTCTGAGAGACACACGTTCTTCACCTTTGCGGCTCACTTGAGAGACATTGCCATTTAAAAGAAAATGCTGTTGTCATTGTATCTTACGATGTTTCAGACTTTCCCAATCACATTGTAGTCCCGTAGGGTTTGGTCACAGCAGAGAGCTGGCGGCAGGTGCAGCACCTCTCTCTGATGGTGGGCCTCACAGCTCCTGGAGAGTTTTATTCAGAAAGCGTCCTAGAAAAATGCCTCATTGTTTTCATCTACCTTGTTACCATTATCTGGATGTCTTCAGACAGCATGTCCATCTTGGT